CAAAATTCGATTTTTGTGTGAAAACCTAAAAGTCCATTTTCTGGCTAAACAAGAAGAGCTAGGGCCAAAAGGATGAATATTTGTGATCACTTTTATTTCCAACCAAAATTCGATTTTTTGAGTGAAAACCTAAAAGTCCATTTTCTGGCTAAACAAGAAGAGCTAGGGCCAAAAGGATGAATATTTGTGATCACTTTTATTTCCTTCCAAAATTCGATTTTTGTGTGAAAACCTAAAAGTCCATTTTCTGGCTAAACTAGAAGAGCTAGGGCCAAAAGGATGAATATTTGTGATCACTTTTATTTCCAACCAAAATTCGATTTTTTGAGTGAAAACCTAAAAGTCCATTTTCTGGCTAAACAAGAAGAGCTAGGGCCAAAAGGATGAATATTTGTGATCACTTTTATTTCCTTCCAAAATTCGATTTTTGTGTGAAAACCTAAAAGTCCATTTTCTGGCTAAACAAGAAGAGCTAGGGCCAAAAGGATGAATATTTGTGATCACTTTTATTTTCTACCAAAATTCGATTTTTGAGTTAAAGCCTAAATGTCCATTTTCTGGCTAAACTAGAAGAGCTAGGGCCAAAAGGATGAATATTTGTGATCACTTTTATTTTCAACTAAAATTCGATTTTTGAGTGAAAACTTAAAAGTCCATTTTCTGGCTAAACTAGAAGAGCTAGGGCCAAAAGGATGAATATTTGTGATCACTTTTATTTCCAACCAAAATTCGATTTTTTGAGTGAAAACCTAAAAGTCCATTTTCTGGCTAAACAAGAAGAGCTAGGGCCAAAAGGATGAATATTTGTGATCACTTTTATTTCCTACCAAAATTCGATTTTTGAGTGAAAACTTAAAAGTCCATTTTCTGGCTAAACAAGAAGAGCTAGGGCCAAAAGGATGAATATTTGTGATCACTTTTATTTTCTACCAAAATTCGATTTTTGAGTGAAAACCTAAATGTCCATTTTCTGGCTAAACAAGAAGAGCTAGGGCCAAAAGGATGGATATCTGTGATCACTTTTATTTCCTGCCAAAATTCGATTTTTTGAGTGAAAACCTAAAAGTCCATTTTCTGGCTAAACAAGAAGAGCTAGAGCCAAAAGGATGGATATCTGTGATCACTTTTATTTCCTACCAAAATTCGATTTTTTGAGTGAAAACCTAAAAGTCCATTTTCTGGCTAAACAAGAAGAGCAAGGGCCAAAAGGATGGATATCTGTGATCACTTTTATTTCCTACCAACTTTCGATTTTTTGAGTGAAAACCTAAAAGTCCATTTTCTGGCTAAACAAGAAGAGCTAGGGCCAAAAGGATAGATATCTGTGATCGCTTTTATTTCCTGCCAAAATTCGATTTTTTGAGTGAAAACCTAAAAGTCCATTTTCTGGCTAAACAAGAAGAGCAAGGGCCAAAAGGATGGATATCTGTGATCACTTTTATTTCCTGCCAAAATTCGATTTTTGTGTGAAAACTTAAAAGTCCATTTTCTGGCTAAACAAGAAGAGCTAGGGCCAAAAGGATGGATATCTGTGATCACTTTTATTTCCTGCCAAAATTCGATTTTTTGAGTGAAAACCTAAAAGTCCATTTTCTGGCTAAACAAGAAGATCTAGGGCCAAAAGGATGGATATCTGTGATCACTTTTATTTCCTACCAAAATTCGATTTTTGAGTGAAAACCTAAAAGTCCATTTTCTGGCTAAACTAGAAGAGCTAGGGCCAAAAGGATGAATATTTGTGATCACTTTTATTTCCTACCAAAATTTGATTTTTGAGTGAAAACCTAAAAGTCCATTTTCTGGCTAAACAAGAAGAGCTAGGGCCAAAAGGATGAATATTTGTGATCACTTTAATTTCCTACCAAAATTCGATTTTTGAGTGAAAACCTAAATGTCCATTTTCTGGCTAAACTAGAAGAGCTAGGGCCAAAAGGATGAATATTTGTGATCACTTTTATTTCCTTCCAAAATTCGATTTTTGTGTGAAAACCTAAAAGTCCATTTTCTGGCTAAACAAGAAGAGCTAGGGCCAAAAGGATGAATATTTGTGATCACTTTTATTTTCTACCAAAATTCGATTTTTGAGTGAAATCCTAAATGTCCATTTTCTGGCTAAACTAGAAGAGCTAGGTCCAAAAGGATGAATAATTGTGATCACTTTTATTTCCTTCCAAAATTCGATTTTTGTGTGAAAACCTAAAAGTCCATTTTCTGGCTAAACAAGAAGAGCTAGGGCCAAAAGGATGCATATCTGTGATCACTTTTATTTCCTACCAAAATTCGATTTTTTTAATGAAAACCTAAAGGTCCATTTTCTGGCTAAACTAGAAGAGCTAGGGCCAAAAGGATGGATATCTGTGATCACTTTAATTTCCTTCCAAAATTCGATTTATGTGTGAAAACCTAAAAGTCCATTTTCTGGCTAAACAAGAAGAGCTAGGACCAAAAGGATGGATATCTGAGATCACTTAAATTTCCTGCCAAAATACGATTTATGTGTGAAAACCTAAAAGTCCATTTTCTGGCTAAACAAGAAGAACTAGGGCCAAAAGGATGAAAATCTGTGATCACTTTTATTTGCCACTAAAATTCGATTTTTTAAGTGAAAACCTAATAGTCCATTTTCTGGCTAAACAAGAAGAGCTAGGACCAAAAGGATGGATATCTGAGATCACTTAAATTTCCTGCCAAAATACGATTTTTTGAGTGAAAACCTAAAAGTCCATTTTCTGGCTAAACAAGAAGAGCTAGGGTCAAAAGGATGGATATTTGTGATCACTTTAATTTCCTTTCAAAATTCGATTTATGTGTGGAAACCTTAAAGTTCATTTTCTGGCTAAACTAAAAGAGCTAGGACGAAAAGGAAGAAAATCTGTGAATTCTTAAAAAAATTCGATTTTTTGAATTTTGTGAAAAGTTTTAAAAAGTTTTGTCAATACTGATAATTTGTTAAGCATTTTCTGTAGCATGTCTGTCCACCATATCACATAGCAGCTGTCAAAGTTAAACACCTTCATCACTACATGCTTATCACATGTATACTTTATAAGGAGTTTAATATTAGACCAAACTACTTACATACATATTTATGTATGTAAGTATGTGTGAATATGCAACGACTTTGTTTTACGCTAAATAGTTATAGATAGGGCTTAGGATAAACACAATTTATAAAACAAAATTACTCCATTTGAAACTCCATCTCGAAATACAACAAGCTCTGTAATTTTTAATTTTATTACGTTATTAGAGCGAAGAACTTATGTTCGCAAACGAATTGAAGAATCTAGTATGAATTATCCACTTATAGTTAAGGGGCTGAAATAAAATCGAAAAAAAAGAAGGAAAAAACTTGCATTTATGTATTTATTTGTTAAACCTCTAAGGAAATTTGTATCCGACGAATGAAATACATATTTCATTTTTTCACTTTTACAATTTATAAAAAATGTGTCTAAATTTCAACACGTTTTTTTATTTTTTTTTTTTCTATTTGGCTTCTTACACACGCATACTAAAATGTGCTAAATGTATAAATGGTGGTCATCTCATCCGTTTCCGTTTTTTGTTTTCATGATGTCCCTTAACAAAATGATTAATGTTTGGCTAAACTTTTTAGACTGATGTTTAGCAAACTAAAACCAACCAAATAAAATACAAATACAAATAATGTAAAAAATGGGCAAAAAATACAAATAAATATTTTTTATACAAAAATTTGAGGGCAGATGTTGCCAAAGTTGTTATTGTTGTTGTTTTTGCAGTCTAGCTAAGCCTGGTGACTTGAGTTGTTTTATATGTATTGACGGGGGGTGATGATGCTGTTCTAGATAATCTTATAAAATCCTCAAAAATTATTAGAAAAATGACAATTGAAACAAGTTTTAAAACGTGTTAAGCATATTTTGTTAACAAATACTTATAATTTAATCAAAAAAGAATACTATTTCTTTTGCAAAAATTATTATGCTTTTTTTAATAACTTTTTGGTTTTCTTAATAAATACTTTAATTTTTCTATTTTAATTTAAACTTTGTTTATTTAATTTGTTTCTTTTACTTTTTGGTTTTTATTTTCTTCATTTTTTCCATCGACTTTCAATTCCGATTGTACTCAGGGGAGTGATTGAATTGAACCACAATTCAACTTGAATGATATGATGATTAAGGGAATACCATACAGTTAGAGTTGTGCTTCTTAGTTAAAGTTAACTAAGTATAACATATCATTTTATATTGTAACTGTAGAACATGAAAACCAAACAGTTGAATGAACATTTAATTTGGCCAGAAATATTACTTTCATTTAAAAATCTTATTAAGAGAAAACCATAACAAAATGTCAGTAAGTTGATTCCTAATTTAAGGCAACAGTAATTTTAGACATTATTTAATACTCCTAATCCTATATTAGAATTTTTCATTTTCCATTAAGAGCCATTTAGCTAAGACAGGGAGTTGGCGTGAAAGAGAGGAAACTCTCTTATAAGGCACTTTATATGCAATGTCAAGTTTTTTAAGAACAGCTTCTATGTACATTTCTCTAGATTATAAGAAATTAATTTCTATGGAAATCTTTTTAATACATTTTATTATAATTTTATGAAAATATAAAACACACTTAATCAACAAAATTGCCAATCAGGCATGACCAGTCTGCCGGCTGTCAAAACAAAGAAATAAATAACCTTTCTTTTCTACTTGTATTTTATTTGTGTAATTAAATATTTAGTTAATACATACGTACATACATACACGCTTAAATACTTATGCAAATTATAAACATTTAATTTCCCATAATACTGTAATACTTAAATTAAATAATAACAATATTCTCAGGAGTGTGAGAGTATTCTACGAAAGTTGTAAATTTTTGTCTTGAGGATTAGCAGCCGGGTTAATAAAAGTGTCTAAATATATGAAATTTATTTAAAAATATTAAGATAAAGTTAAAATCTTATCTCCTGTGAGGTGGCAAATCTAAGTAAAGTAAATAGAAACTAGTATTTAATAAATCTTTATTTTAAATTCGTTAGTATTGTGTAGGAATGACTATGACATTTTTTTCTTTCTTCTCTCACTTTCTTAAGTAAATATGTATATAAAATGTACATTTCTATATATCACATTGGACCTTAACAGTTGACTATATTATTATCATCTTCAACAAATATTAGCTAAAAGATGTCAAACAAAACAAAAAAACAAATATTTAAATTATAATGTATAACTACTATATAAAATAAAATACAAATTTAAAGTTAATAGGCCAAATTAACCGTTAATAAAAAAGGGTGTAGGCAATTTGTAGACTTGTATGTTTTGCTTATTTCTTAAGAGCTTTTTTACTTTCTTCTTCTAGTGGCTTCTTTTCAGGTTCTTTGTGCATAATTTCTTCATTTAACAATTGCAATTCCTTATCGGTCGATTTAGGTGAATGACCATTCCAGTCTTGTAGAGTTGAGTCAGCAAAACACACATACAAAACACCAGCACCAATTAACATGGTAGCTGATATAAGGAAGACATGCTTCCAAGATTCAAACGTTTGCTGCAACAAAGAAAACGTAAATTTTCTGCAATTTTAAATTGTTTATAACTTACATTTCCTAAAGTTAAAATTCCCACTATATAAGGCGATATAAAACCGGGCAGCACACCAATCATGCCACTTATGCCCAAAACAATGCCAGCATAGTTGGGTGCTATGTCCACTATAGAGGCTAAGGGTCCGGAGGAAACAGCTCCATGAAACATGGTGGCTACGGTTAAAAATATAATGGCAGCTGTAGAATTATGACCAAAATAGGCCAAGGCAACCACAACTAGACCCTTTACAATACAACCTGTGGAAAGATAAAAATTTACATAACTAGAGGAAAGCAGGATTATATTAAGCTTACATATAGCTGTGGCCAATTTTCTTAAATTTGTGCGACTCATTTTATTCGATTTCAATAAATAATCGGCAAATAGCGAGAAACCATAGGCAAACAGCATGCGCATTAAGTGTGGTAAACCTGAGAGTACTCCAGTCTGTAAAACAAAAGAATGATAACATTTAGAATTTAATAATATTTTTAAAATAATGTCATTCTTACCGCTCTAATATTCCAATTATGTATAACTCTAAAGTAAGTGGGAGCTTGTGTCATTAGTGTAAAAAGACCCCAAATGCCACCCCATTGTGCTATGACATTCATCCAGACTGGTCTTGATGTTAAAATCGACCTCCAGGGTGTACCTTGAGCTTGTGCATTTGTTGTTTGAACCGAAGATCCTAGACTCTTTTCTATATATCTCAATTCTGTATCGCTTATACGTGGATGTTGAGCTGGACTATCGTATACGAAAAATAGCCAACCCAACCACCAACATGTGCCCAAAATACCACAAACATGATACACCCATTCCCAAGAAGCCCAATGCATCATATAACCGAAAAGGGGATAAAACAATGCTATGCCCACAGAACTACCCAAATAGGCAGTAACAAATTTACTTCTCTCATTGGGGGGTATCCATTTGGCGGTTAGAACATGCATGGCCGGCCAAGCCAAACCCTAAAATCAATAAAAAGAATTTAGTGAATTATAGTTTCAAAATCTTTCATGAAACTTACTGTTATTAGACCTTGTATAATACGCAACCAAATCAAAGCTCTATAATCCCAATACGAAGCCATGGGCATTAAAAAGCACATCCAACAACCAATGGCATTCGAAAGGCCAAATACCAATTTGGTGCCATATTTTTTGGCCAAAATACCACCCGGTATTTGAGTAATCCAATGGGCCCAGAAAAATGAACCCAACACCAAACCCTGTTGATATTCATTCCAGTGGAAACCCTCACTTTCATACTCAATCTTTTTGAAAACCAAAAGAGAAAGAAGAGAAGATTAATAAATATTTTTCCTATGAAATCTACAAAATCTTTACATACATTTGTCAAATTGAATAGATGTTTCTCTAAAGAATATTTACTGCCTTTATGTACAAGACCAGGAGCTACAGTGCTCCGATTGTTATCATCAGTATGTGTCAACAACTTACTGCCATTAACGGCTGCTAATATTGTATCATCGTTTGATAACGCCACCGGTTGTTTTAACGATTTACCGCTGGTCACTACCATTTCAACAATGGTTATATTGAGATTTATGCGGATCATGTAATTGACAGCAAATCCCACAAATGTCAAATACCATAAAACAGTTCGAGCTTGTACTGAAATGAATTCGAAACAAAAACAAAACAAATAGTTTGTAGAGTAGATGATAATTGACTGTTTTTCTGTTATATTTTAATATTTAATTACTTAATTGTAATATGGGTTACACAAGTTCTATGTAGGGAGGGAATGTGTCTTGTAAAGACCCAACAAACATTCTAGTTTTAAGAGGAAATTGAGAATCTGCAGCAACGGTCGTTATATAAAAAGGTTAAATGTATCGTAAGAGTGTACTATTGTCTGCTCTATAGTTAAGAGTTTCGGCTATGGCTTATAGTAACGATTATAATCCGATTTAGAGACTCGACTATGCTCTGGTCTACAGTCGAGCTTATAGTTTGATCTATAGTCTCGAATATTGTCTCGATTATAGACAAGTCAATAGTCTCTACTATAGTTTAGTTTGAAGTGTCGACAATGCTCTATATTGAAGACTTTAGTTTGATCTACATTCTAGAATATACCCTGATCTATAGTCAGGGTTATAACCTCTACTGATCTATAGTCATTTGTACTGAAATTTTTACTTGTAACTATGTATTTTGAAATTATGTTTGTTGGGTTTAGGCCTAAGTAGTTAAAACATATCGTAATGTTAGTCAATCGTAAAAACAGTTTGTATTATCTTAATTGTCATACATTTTATTACCACACGCGAAAATGTTCACCATAAATAATTATGTATATAATTATGCTGTATTATATTATTTTATATTTAGAGTTGTTTGCTTTTTTTAATTTTAATTCTCATACATATGCTTTTATGTTTTTTTAATAAACGGTGACATAAACCATTTAATTAAGAACATATTTGTTTAGTGCCTTTGTTATTGTTATTTATTTATAAATATTTTTTAAATTTTATTAAGACAATTGTCACATTTAAATAAACAAACAAGTTGTTAAATTTGAATAATATTTATTCAAAACTTTACTAATATGTTTGCTGGGTTAATGTATGTAAATTACGACTACCGTTTACCTTTAATATTGCATATCGGTATGTTTCGATTACCAGGTAATTATGTTGTAATTTTTTAAATACAACTGAATATACGTTTTAATTTGAATATAGAATATTGGCAATTTATAAATAGTTATAAACGTCTATAAACTTAGAAAATAACAATAATTTTCTACTTACCACTAGTCATTTTTATTGTCTTTTTAATTTATCTACTGATTGAAATAAAATAAATAAGAAACAAATGACGTATTTATCACAATATCTTCTCAGTAGTAGAAGAATTTTAGAGATGATTTTACAGGAACCAGCATTTACATTAACAAATGCGACGAAGTAAACATTTTCTTTTCAGTTGATGTTGTTGATGTTGTTTTGTTTACTTTTTTCAAATTTTGTGAAAACACTTCAAAAGCACTACGTTTAACAAAAACCGCAATATTTTAATCTTTTTTTTACAAATTATTGTTGATGGATGAAATTGATCCTCTGTTAAGTTGAGATTTTTTTCTCCAACACTCTGCCGCTCCTCCGGCCACTCTCACGTGTTCGAAAGATGATTAGTTGAATCAATGACGAACGATTCTATGCCCGCAATAGACAGTTATATTTAAAACTTTTTTTAATTAAAAAAGTAAACGAAAGTTTAACTGTAATTATTTAATACAAGAAATATAACAGCTAAAGTAAATATGTTTATACTAGTCAGCTGAACTAAACAAAAGTGCACAGAACTCAGCTGAATAAAACTTTTGTTTTCTTTCCCGTATGAAAAAAATAAGAAAATAATAAATGAAATTAAAAATATACTTCTACTCAGACGACCTTAACTGCTGCGAATGATCGGAATGATCGTAGTTATAGCAGCCGGCCAGCCAGTCAGTCAGAATAACTAGAGTAGAATGCGATCATTTGTTTGTGAATCAGTTTATTAACGACTCTCTCCTGGTTTTAAAGTGTGTATTTTCTTTAGAGACTGCAATAAAAGTATTTTTGTGATAAGCAGCACATTTTCTCCACAAGTAAATTGTTTTATTTGAGCAGCGTATCATTATTATTATTGTTATTATTATTCTTAAAGAATCTACTTAAAATGTACCTAGTTAGTTCTATAACAATACACAAATACATGCATACTTAAACATGTGTATGATTTATGAGTGGGTGGCAGGCAGCAGCAGGCAAATAAATATTTAGTAGGCAAGAAACCGTAATGTTTATTCAATACTTAAATTTCATTTTAGATTTGAGTGAATTTGTTTTGGTTATTGTTTTAAAATCGATTTAAAATTTGGCAGCATTTACGTGTTGAAATTCGTTGTAAATGTATGTAAATGATGATACGTTATCAAACAATGGAAACTTTGATCATCATCGTAGTCTTATATCAAAAATATCAGCTCAAGAAAAATAAAGTGATGACGATAAAGTATATGTCCATTTAGGTAGTTTTCAAAGATGATGGCGATGACCACATACAGAGAGTAATTTCACACACTATAATCGTGTCATCATAAATGTCATTCATATGTGCGAACGATGTTGGTTATCTTTATAATTTGATTTCTAACTTTGATATCTGAAATTATATTTGATTGTGGCTATTTATTATTTCAGAGCATTTAAAGAATTAATTATTTTTGTTAATGAATACTTGCGTTTTCTTTTAATAGAATAATTATCTATGGCCTTTCGTGCTCACAACATCTTATAAACAATAAAGATTCAGCGCATTTTACAACTGTTTTGTTTTATAATTGTTATTTTAAATCTTTAGATAGTAACGATCAATGACATTAAACGTTTTATGTTATTTCTTTTAATTTGTATTCACATTTATTTACGATTTGCAAAAAAAAAAGAAAAGAAAGAAGAATAAAATAACATTTAAACAAACTCTTTTAAAATAATAATAATATTCAATTGATTAGAGTTAGTATATAGTATTTATGTATGTGTTTAATATAAATGTTTGTATGTATGAGTGAAATGATATAAACAAATTCACATTTAATGTTTTATCGTCACCTAAAATGCAAAATAATTTAACAACAAAATATCCACTTTGATTTTGTAATGGATTTTGGCAAAAAAGTTTTAAAAATCATAATTTTTAAATAACATGTTTCTCCATGTCTATGGCTGAGATATTTCTTATTCCATCCTTATCTCTAAAATGTAAAAAAATTGTTTTACTCTTCTGCATTTTAGTTGACGATATGTATTGATGTGTGTGTGTATTATGTTGTACATAATATTGTTTTAGTTGTAATATTGAATAAACAATTAAAGGTCAGTATACATATTTTACGTTTGTTTTAATTTTTCTTTTTTTTAATATTATTTTTTTGATCCAGTCTATTCGGGATCATTATTAATATTAGTGCTATTTTCTAATAATGGTACCGCCGATAGGGGAAAACGAACCTCCCAGGCGGCTTCCCACAAACGACTCCACATTCATCCGACATTCTCGTAGGGCATGGCGGGACGATCTGTACTCATGCCGGGCGCTGAAGCAGTCGAGTTGCCGAATATTGAGGGGGGATGATGTTGTTGTTGCTGCTGTTGTTGTGTTTGCTGATGTGGATGCTGGGCTTGTTGGGGCTGTTGGTGGGGATTGTGGGTGTGATGTTGTTGTTGCTGAGCACCAGGCTGTTCGTTGCGTATCTGTGGAAGAGGAAACATTATGCCATGTGGCATTTGAGGATGATGAAGATGTTGTTCGTTGGAAGGCGGAGGTGGTGGTGGTTGTTGATGAGCTGCCTGGTGTTGTTGGTGGGCAGCATCAACATGTTTACGTTGCTCGTTCTGTTGATGGACCTTTTCCGCAGTTGTCTCCTCATATTTCTTTTGCAGTTGGAAAAGTGTGTGAATTTGTTGGGGAGCATGCAGAGCCACAGTGGTGGTGGATGTTTGCTCTCTTGCGTGCTGTTGCACACGATCAGCTTGCGATTGAGGCGAGGGCTCCTTTTCACTTTTATCGTACTTTTTTTGCAACTGGTACATGCTGTGCGAGAGTTGTGTATGTTGTGGTAATTGAATTTTGTCATTGGGTGTTGTATTTCCAGAAGATTTTCCAGAACTTGAAGACGATTGCGTATGATTGTGATGAGTTTTTTCTTGTTTCACTGGTGCCTTTTTCTGATACTTCTTAAGAACCTGAATAAGTTCGCCCTTTACATCAATTCTTATGTCCTCTGGCACCCGTTTGATTTCCTCATAGAGCGATAAAAGGAAGAGTTTGTCGGGATCACGACTCTTACGTTTTTTACTCTTCTTTGGAAAGGCATCCTGCATGAACTGCAGCAATTTCTCCTCAAAGGCAGCTTCACGATGAAAGGCAGCCGTAGCATGTTGTTGCCTTCGCATGAGATGAGGATGCAAGCCTCCAGAAAATGCCGGATGTGGTGGCATTATATTGTGCTGTTGCAAAGTCCCGGTCGAATTCGAATGGTCGCCATTATGACCAGTCATCTGAGATACTCCCGCTTGGCCGAATCCACCGGCTTGAGTGTCAGTGTGATTTGACGATCCTGGAGCATCGTTAGTTTCCCCATCGTTCGTGTGATGATCCTGTTGTTGTTGTTGGGCCGCATGTTGCTCTTTTTGATGTTGCATATGTTGCTGTTGGCCACTTGATACAGCGGCAGCAGTCAGTATGGCATCACAGAAGTGTTCGGGAACATAATCAAAACCAGACATGAAATTTTCGGGCTTCAACTCGCCGTTCATTTCTTCGTAAAAATATTCGGTGCCGACAATATCAATAATATCATTATCCTCTTGGCTGAGTTCAATCCCTGGGGGTGGGGATCCACCAGCCATTTGGCACCGTTTAAGCTCAGCAAGTTTCTTACGTGTTGTTAAACGCATATCGCGCCAGCACTAAAATTTTATAAATTTAATTATTAAAGTTTATAAACACAAGGTTAATTATATTTCTACTAACTTTTTTCCACTGTATTATAGTCTTTTTGGGTCCAATTTTATTCAAGGCTTCCTGGATCTTTTCCCAATACCATTCTTTTTCTTTTTTGCCCTCCATATATTTGGTCTCCCTCAACAGAGTGATTAGCATCTTTTTCTGGGGCTTTGTAACACGATCCTTGAATAAAATATTGAAAACCTTGAAATTAAGAAACGAAAAAAAGTCGAAACAATTCACACAAAATGCAGAGTACTTTATAAATAATCCTATCGAACTTAAATCTTTTACTCCCTTTTATGGAGCTATAAGGAGCCATACAATTGGAACATAGTTTGATTTTTGTAAAAGATAGGATTACTTTTTTACTTTAGTTGTAAAAATGTAAACAACAAATAAAAATACATCTTCACACCTGAAGGGGTTAAAAAAGATTTCGTCACATTCACAATGCTCACTATTTTGTGTAGCCAACTATTGTGATTGGTAAATTACTAAATATCATTGTGAATGTTGCACTTTTTTCTTTTCACAGGGCTTCCCTTTTTTTCTGTGGGAGCACCCGAAAATAGTAGAAGACAATCACTGGATTTTTCATTTCATTCTTATTTATTGTTTAATTTCTACACTAAAAACACAACAAATTCAATGCTACAACTTACCATTTTGGCAAATATAGATGCTAGATGTTTTCGGACAAATTAAGAACAATAGATTTTTAAGAAAATTTATAATTTTTTTCGCCAAACACTTTTTACTTTTTGTCTTTGCCACAGTTCGTCATTTTTCACTGACTGTCGTCGTCGTTCTCATCGTTAGTTCGTTTGTGTGTTGGTGCTGTTGGTTTTGTAGTTGTACTCTTGTTGTTGTTGTATTTTTTTCGTTTTCGATGTTTTCACATTCAACTGTCACACCCGCCATCTCACTCGCTCACTAGCTAAACACATGCTTCAGTCGCTAACGTCAAATACTCGCTGAAAAATTTACGAAGAAAAATTAATGGCCCAATAGGAAATTTCATATTTAAAAAAAATGATAAAAATTCGAATCAAAGCGATGACATTGTTAGCAACGCACGGATTATATTTTGTCTTGTACATTTGTTTAAATTTTTATAACAAGAAATTCCATTACACAAATTAATACTAGAAAACACATTTATTATATGTCTAAAACGGAATCAGAAAATCTTTGCCAAACATTTCCAATTGGCATTTAATCTCTGGCTTTGGCATTGTCGTTTTGTCTCTATCGTCGTTGTGTCAATTTTCTTTCTATTCGTGACAATGTTGCCAATACTTTTAAACCATACACAACTGAAGAAGCGTAAAAATGTTAGGAACTGAAAAATTTATTTAAAAAAAAAACACAATTTTAGAATGTAAAATTATTTTCTAATATAATAATGATCGTAGATAAAAGTAGAGACAAGATTGTAAAAATCCCAACGATTATAGGTATTTGATATATGGAAAGAAATATTTTGTAATTTGTTATATAGATATTTTAAATAAAAATTATTTTTTCTTAGAAAATTAAAGGATTTTTTGTTAAATTTCTATCTTTAAAGAATGTATTTAAAAAAAAAAAAAAAAAATAATTTGTTTTCTAAAAACGGCCTTCAGCCATGCTCGAATTCTTCTCCTTCGCTAAAAATGTGTTTTCTGCAAAACAAAATTTTTCTGGTTTCTGTTTTATATGTAAAAAGTACAACTTTGAGTTCTCATAACTCTGAAACTAAAAGACAATTTTTTATACTACTAAATTAAAAGAACTATTAACCTTGATTTATTAAAATACAATGCGGTTTAGGGGTCTAGGTTTATAACTAGAATTTATTTTTTTCCAAATATTTTTTTTAATTTTTTTTTATAAAAAAAAATTATATCTTGCTAATTACTAAAATTAGGATTTTATAATGCCGATAATTTGTTTGTCGTTATTATATGTATACAGGAAGATAAGCTAGCGGAAATATCTCCTTATGCTTTATCGATATCCTGTTACTAAAGTACAATTATAATAACTAGAAACATGCCTAAATTAACTTCGAAAATGTTTTCTGTTGAATCGAACTTACCAACAAAATAACACACCAGGAATTTAAGATAAGGCCTGTTCGGAAATTACGTTATTTTCATTTACTAATTTTTAAACAAAAATTTGTATGTCTATGCATAAAATGCGCATCATTTTATTTGCATCAGCTTCGCAAACTAATCATGAGATGCAATGCAGATTAATTTTCGAACAGGCCCATATTTTGCGTTTCGTTCCTTCATAAATCGATTAGATTAAATGATCAAAAATACTTGAATAAAATTATATTTACTAATTTCCAAAACACAATTGTAAAAAATCTAAATATGTAAATGAACCCAAACAATTTGATATAATAAAACGCATACTAAATCAATTTTCCATTCTTAAATAAAAAACTTTATTACATTTTGCAAAAAAAGCAAAAATAAATCTTCTGCACAGTATGGAATATTGACAAAAACCATAATTTTAACGGTAAGATTTTTGGTAGCGAGCACGGGCACCTGGACCACCGAATTTCTTGGGTTCGCAGCGACGTGGGTCACCAACCAACAAGGTTCTGTCGTATTGGATAAGAATGTCCTTGATTTCCTTCTTGGAAGCTTCATCGACATCTGCAAATTGAAAAATAAAAACAATTTCATATTATAAACATTGCATTTCAAAAGAAAAAAAAAACTAAAACACTAAATAAATGAACAATAAAATAAATGTTTTTGGTATATTTTTGGCAAATTATATTGAAAATTAACATAATTTTAAGGAAATAACCAAAAAATTTATATTTCCCGCAGTTTAATAACTCGTTCGAATGAATTTAATTGATTCATACAAACATCTGGCATTGACGGGACTAATTTATATTTCAATTGCAATTCTTTGTCCTAAGTATCATATTTGTAGTTGAAACATCACCCAAATTATTTATATTGTTTTAAAAACTAATTTGGTTGGTAAATGTTTAACCTTAAATTTGTTAATATATCTTGTCTCTTATCTTTCCTTGGAGAGGCATTATTTTCAAGTCCAACAAAAATCTGGTATATGCAAGAATATATAAGGATAATCGAAATATAAAAAATGTCTTTGGTGTATTTTGAACAAATTAAATTTGAAAAAATAATATAACTTTGTGGAAACACCCAAAAATTTAATCTAACCCGCAGTTTAAAAACTCGTTCGAATGAATTTGTTTGATTCATACAAACATCTGGCATTGACGGGAATTGCTTTTACTCATCACATACATATTTATTTATAAACTGTAGTTGAAACATCACCCAAATTGTTTATGTTCATTTGAAAACAAACTTGGTTGGTAAATGTTTAACTGTCACTTGGATTTAATATATCTTGGCTTTCATCTTTCCTTGGAGAGGGGTTTAATCAAGTCCAACAAAAATCTGGTATATGCAAGAATACTTAGGTTACTGTTATTTATAATTAATTTAAAGTAAATGTTGCTTTAACATCACCCAGAAAGTTTTTGCAAATACAACATTCTGGTTGGTAAATGTTTAACAATATATTTAATATGCCTGAAAGGTATCTTTCAAAGGAAATAGGTTTTATATTTATTCCAGTGAAAATCTGGTAACATCAGGCTTTTTATCTGTCAAGAACAAGTGTGATATACTTACACTTTTGGTAGAAGGCAATCAAAGCCTTGGAGATGGCTTGACGGATGGCGTAGATTTGAGCTACATGACCACCACCGTTGACGCGGACACGGATGTCTACACCAGCGAATTTTTCCTAAAAGTTAAAAGAAACACAAATTAGATTCAAATTCGCAAATCCTTAACAGGAAATACTGTTTTATATATTATAATCAGGGGGAATGATATTTTCATTTTGAACTCAATTTCGGGATAAGAAGTTTCATCACATCAAACCGAATTCGACTAAATATTTACAACATAATAATTCTTACCTTGCCGAGCAACAACAAAGGTTCTTGCAATTTGTATTGCAAAACTTTGGGTTCAATTTGTTCCAATGGACGACCATTGACACGGAGCAAACCACGACCGCGCTTGCAGTAAGCTACAGCGGTAGCTGTTTTCTAAAAAAAACAATAAGAAACATTATTATCAATATTCATTAGCACGTGGGAATCAACAAAATCTTTTTCCCTCTTTAAAAATGTTCATGTTTTCACTTTAGTCACATTCATATATTAAAGGAAATTTATCATCAAAATATGGCGTAAGCACGTGTGGAGAGAAAAAGTTTTCGTTTTTTTGCACATTTTACTGATATTTTTACTTACTTTACGTCCGAAAACTTGAACGGCGTGGATAGGTTCCCTGCGCTGAAAGCAGAAATTTTCTCAAATCATTAATTTTTCTGAATTTTTGATGAAAAATATTTTAACTCACTTTTGGTTGCATTTTGCTTGGCGACCTAGGTAGAAAAGACCGGAAACTCAAAAAGAGGCATTGAACAGTAATTCGTTCGTTAAATTTTGCTGTCAGTACAAAATAATCAACTCTGATTCGTTGTATTACAAACAGTGTTACCAACTCAACTTAAACGATGACCCATTCACAAAAACGTTTACATATACGTTTTTGTATTGTTTTATTATATTTTATATATTTTATTTATTTATTCAATATAACATTACAAAGCGTTTATAGTCAAAATATAAATATATATTATTTGGTAATAAAAACCCTGAGCTTACGTAAGAACTTAAAAATAATAATTAAAAAATCGTCACTATAAAGCTGAAAGTACACAACACACCCCGTTTCGATCTTATTTTATTATTTTTTTAAACTAACATTCTATTAAAGATCAAAATTATAAGTTTTTTTTTCATATTATTTATTACATATATTTTATATATATTCATATGTTATATATATTTAATTATCAATTAGAATTCATTCTATTAATGCTCAGCGTAAATACATATACCGTTAAAATAGAAAATATATATTGAAATTTTTAAAAAACACTTAAATTATTTTTTGTGGCATTGTTGTAAAAGTCAGGTTATAAAATGAAAAAACGTACCCGTTTTAGAGTCATTGATACCATTTAAATAAAATGTGTTGTACTGGCAACACTATACAATTCTTCGTTTAAATTTGACGAAACCTAATCAACGTAGCGCCATCTGGCAATTAGTAGCCAGAAGTGGCAAGTTTTTTTATCATGGTGTTTTTTTATTATAGATACTTTAAATGTCATTGTAGTAAATGACACTTGTAAGAAGTAGAAAGAAAAAATCTGGAAAAAGGAAATTTGATTTTTATAAAAGATTATAATATGCATTTATAAATAGTAGATAATGTCTAGAAAAGAAGTGAAAACCTACAGTAATTATCGCGAAAGTGATTTTAAGATTGAAAATGAGCCTGAAGAAGGTGAAATTATTGATGAATATGACCTGATAGTATCCTCTGATGAGGAGCTGTCCATGAGACAGCGAATTCGTGAGTTAGAAGCTGAAAATGAAGAAATTGAACAAATTGCTGTGATATCTAGAAGTTATGTTGATAAAATAAGTAAGTAATTGACAAATGTTCTTATCAGTTGTTGGTAAATGTAATAAAATGGCTACATGTAATATTTAATCTTAAGATCCCCTGCATACTCATTTGGAGAACAGCCGCGCTGCCCAAGTACCTACAGATGTATCTTCCATATCATCTACGGAGTTCGTCACACCAAAGAAACGTAAACGACGAAAAAGTAGAGAACATAAGAGAAAACATTGCCATCATCAGCATCAACATCAACATCAGCACCATCATCAATATGAGACACATCCTCGCTATGTAGAACAAGAAATACCTCTAAGGTCACGTTCTAGGAAAACCCATTGCAAACGAAGACAAAAATTGTTTGCAAAAAAACATCAAAAAGTCCATTCTGATCGTTACCTATATAAGGAGATTAATGCAGAAACTGTTTCACTGGATTCCCCCGAATCTTCTGATTCTTCATCTTCTTTAACCGATACTGAAAATTTCAGCAAAAGTTATTTTCCATTTAGTAGAAAAGATGACAAATATATATCGAGGGACACTTTACGTTTGGCTGTGGCGAGAAATTCAAATGAATCGATATTTCCAAGCAAAAAATCTTGTTTGAAAGACAAGTTACTAAGACAGGAATTAGTTGGACAGCCAGCAAATATTCCGATGGAAGATGAGCGGCAGGCGGTCAGTGAGGCTGTAAATGTCCCTAACGAGAATGCTGAGCAAGACGATGATGACGATGATGTACAAGTAATTGAAAATGAACCTGATATACAAACTATCGATGAAGATTCAACGGATTCATTGGAAGAAAAGGAACTTCGTCTGATTGCTTTAAAATCAGCTGTACTAAAGAAACATATGGCACGTAAAATGCGCAATGCGGAAGCGGCATATTCACCAACAGATTTTGATGAAATGCTTGCTTCGGGCAACTTGCCGCAAGACAATAAACTTGATGATCTAGAAGTGGTTGATTTAGATGCTGAAGATTCACAAAACGCTTGTGTCACAGTTAGTCCTGTAGCTTCGCCCCAACTGATGATATTGGAAGATCAGGAAGAAAGCCAACAAATGGTCGATTGCAAACCCATCGACATGGATATTGCCAATAGTGATAGTGATGATACAACAGTCGGCAGTTGGTCGAAAGAAGTCGAACCAGTTCTACCCACATTTCCTTTAATGCCTCATGACTTTGCCAATAATTTTCAATATGGCTACTATATGCCTGATTTACATGAACTGCCACCTCCTCCTCCTGGGGTCGACGACTATGAGGATGCACCCCCGCCACCGCCTTACCATAAAATGTATGCTTCAGAAATGCAAGACATGGAATTAGATAGTGAAGAAATTAGCGAAAGTCAACATTGGTTAAAACATAATATAAACTATACTCACGATATCAACGAAACACTTCCAGAAAAAACCTCAAGTTTACCACCAACAGTTAGTCACAAAGAAGATGTCGAAGATGAAGAGGAAGAGGCATTAAGAGCTTTATTGCTATCCAAATTTCAATCGCCCAAGAACCAAAAGAAATCTAAGCGATCAGTTGATGCTACTGAATCACACGACATTTCAAACAGTAATGTATTGACTGAACAATCCAACGCTATGCCAAAAAAACCTACTGAGTTTATTCTTAAAGAAGCCGTAAAGCGATTAAAAATCCACTCTCAAACTGAACTATGCAAAGAGGAGTCATCAGTAGAGTTTGATAATCCAAACAAATTGCAATTACCAACAAAGCCATTGGAATGTAATGAAAATAATCACGGTTCCTTAACATTATTGGAAAAATTAAGAAATCGACTGAATAAATATAAAAATCAAGCGCAAGTTGCAGAACATGTGTGTCAGGAAGTTAGAAATGAAAATATTGAAGATGAAAAAGATAGTCGAGAACACTTTGGAGAGACAATAGAAAATGCACCTAATAATTATAAGTGTAGTTTGGAAGATGATAGAGAACACCAGGAGTCATTCTCAAATACTTTAGAAGTAGCGAATACGAATATTGATATTAATGATATAACAAGACGACTGCAGCAAATTAAGGAAAATGTTTTAAATTCTATTAACAAAAAAACAACTCAAGAGCCTCCTGTGAATTTAGATTCAAAGCCACAAGTAACAAAACCGTCAACAGAAGAAATCATTACAGAAATTCCCCAAGAAGATAAAACTCAACCAGTTTTAGAAAATATAACAGAACTGCAAAAGCCATTTCATAACAATTTGGATAATATTGTTTCGAAAACCACTGAAATTAATACTAATACTGCAGCAGCAAAAACAGTTGAAGCCAATTTTGATGCCACTACTAAACAAACAACCTTTAAAGTAACGATAACTAATGGTGCCGTGTCCAAGCCGGAGAACAGTGATATGAATGTTAGTGTAATCGACCCTTCTCTTAAAGAGAACAAGGCCAATAATCTATCCAAAAATGTAAAATTAAAAGTTAATGTTAATTCAAAAAGTAAAGTCACATTTAATAGTGAAAGAGTAGTAAAAATTATAAATAAAACAACTGAATCAAGTGCGGAAACAAAAGGACAAGTTGTTAAGTCGTCTGCTGTGATTAAACCGATTGCAAATAAAGCTCAAGTCACTGCCGTATCAACATATCCACTATTGCGTCCCACTAAAATAGTTAAACCGAATAAGGTTATTAATACCAACTTCGATTTGAATCGCAGACAAATTTCACAAGCAACAGAATCAACATTAGCAAATAAACCAACGGAAACGACTAATCCGTTACCTAATGCAACTGATAATCCTCGTTTAATTACCTCCCTCGATCAGGTGAAGCACATGTTTAAAGTTGCTCCATTTGTTATAAGTGTTCAAAACTCATCTAATGAATCTAGCGAAGATGAGTGCAGCGGCGAGTACGATTCATTATATAAACCCCTGTACGATTACAATGATAATGCAAGTCCATTGAGCTTAACTTTGGAGAGTCCAGTTCGTACACCTTTACGATCGAACTCTCCAACAGAGCCTGGCATGGAAGGAAATACTATAAATAAAGACATGGAAAGAAAACTGGATACATTTTTAAAGAAAGCCAAAATAGTAGCACCTGTAAACCATCAAAGCAATGATACGAACCAAGGCGAAAAAACTAATAAAACTCCACTGGTATGTAATAAACTAAAATCTCTGTTAAAAAGTGTTAAAACATTTATAATTTTTAAACTGCTTTAGGCGGTAAGACATTTGCCAGCTGCGGCTCAAAGTGAATACAGAAGGCTGGTGCATCGTATGAAATTGTTGGAAAATAAACGAAAATCTACCAATGATGATGAAAATCCTAAAGACTGCAGCACTACTAACAAGATTGAAAGCGATTCACCACTTAAAGAAGATCTTAGTACGGAAAAGGATAAGGGTGATGCTACCAGTTCCACGCCGAAAACAAGTCTAGTTAAAAAGGTATTAATAAGAAATGCTACTACTACAAATGAATCACAAGTAGCAAATGGCTCTACTGTATCACCAAAGTTTCATAAAAGCAACGTTTTACGTTCCTATGAAAATTTATACGTTAAATTCGGGTATGTTCGCATTTTCAAAAGAATTTCTATAATGTTCAACACTCAGATGTTTAAAATATTCTTAATTTTTGGTTTTTCCAAGTGCGGGTATTGTCAATAATTTGGACAAGTCATTGAAATTAGTAGAGGAAGCAAAAAAAGCCAAAATAACAAAACTAAAGTTGGAAACTCGCCTGAAGGAATTGAAAGCAGAAATGGACATTTTGCAGAGCAAACATAAAGAAGAGCAACAGAAAATATCACGCATCTATCCCAGTATTTGCAGTACCAATGAAGTAATAACATCTTTGAAACAGAAACGCTCCAAAGTCTTTAAGGCGGCACTTAACTTGGGAAAAACTCTGAAGGGTGAGGACTACAGGTAAGTTAATCCCATGTTTGACGTTTTCAAGCGCTATCTTTAATGCAAATTTTCCATTCAGACTTAATAATGATTTAAAAGAAAGTATAACAACTAAAAGTAAACAGTTGGCGACGGAAATAAAAATTGTCAATTCATTGAAAGCCCAAGATGTGAGCAATATAGAAAATGCACTTAAACCTGGCACCAGTCCTAAGGAATTGACAGACAATAAAAAGAAAACTGCTGAGGATTGTAAGACAAAGTCAAATAGCGAAAATATAGATACGAAATTAAAAGCCGATACAGCAGTGGTTTCTGACGAAAGAGAAAAAGAGAAGGAAGAAGAAAAAAGGGAAAATAAAATCGAAAATCCTTTACAATCTGAAGTTGGCGGTAATACAGAAGTGCGTTTTAACAAAAGACAACAATTACATTTAAAGCAAAGATTCAAACAAAATCTGCTAAATAGAAAACTTTATTATGATTATATTTATTACTCTTGTATCTTGTACAGATTGTTGCTTTGTATTTATAATAAAACCATTTGTTGAGTTAGTTTCAGAATATGGAGGATCACGACACAATAATCCCAGTTAAAAACGAGGATACTAGTCGGCCGGACGTGGATACAAAAACGGACTATAGAGATACCAAAACGGAAGATTCTAAAGAAGCTTCGACTCTACCCTCATACATTTCCCCGCTAGAGCATTTAAGAAATATAGACAGGTAGTAGATACTGATATAATATTTCTTTCCATTTAACAAATATGCACAATTGTTTTTGTTTCTGCCTGTTATTTTGTTGTAAATGCACAGCAATATGGATCCTAATGGAGTTGTTTGCCCCTATGATCTCATGGGAAATTGTGAAGATGTTACTTGTAAATATGTACACATAACTCCAAAAGCTAAAACTTAGTAAATCAAACATTTTTTCATTCAGGGTAAGTTTTATATATGTATATGCATAAGAACCTAAAACCTAAACCTACCTAAAATTTACATTCGTAAGCTAATCTAAAAAAACATTCCTTCCGCCGAAAGGGGAAGGAAGTTATAATTCAGTATAAAATCGGTGTCTTTTTGGCGTTGTAGGCTTTCTTTCTGTTTTCTTATGATTTTATTTATTGCATTTCACAATTATAATTGTAAATACATTCGAATTTATATATTTTTGTTGTTTGTAGAATTTTTTACAAAAAGTTGTTATTTTCCTCTATTAGTTTTATTCTTTTATTTTATTTCATTCTAAATCATGTAATCATTTCATTTAAAAAAATTATCAAAGTGCCATTATTAATTACAAAAGAAAAAGACAGTTTTTAACTTATTTAGGAAAGAGAACAAAAAGACAACCGATTTTATAATTATTTTTTTTTTTATTATAATTTTTTACGATTTTATAATGTTATGCTAAGAAAAAACAAATGGAAATTATAATAATAACTAAGAAGTATATTAAAAATAAAATAAATATTTTAAATGAAATAAAAAATATGAAAGAACAACTTGTTTTTATTAAGGTGAATATGAATATGCATAGAAATGCATTCAATATAAATAATAAAATGATCGTGTTCACATGGTGTAGGTTTTGTTTCTATCTTTCTAAAATGGTTATAAATTTCCTTAAAAGTTAATTAATTAAATAATTTGTTTTTGTTTTTATCACAGCCAATTGAATAACTTAGAATTAAAGTAAGATTTGTTCGTCAGCTTCTCTAAAATGTGGGAGTATGTTTGTTGCGTGTGTGTTTATGGGGAAGTGTGTGTGAGAGATGAGGACTTGATTAATCTTAAAAGTTAATTTCATTATGTTTATAGCGCTCCAAAGAAAACATAATCATGACACCAATCTTTAATTTTATCCTCATTAGCACAACACAAGGGATAGACTATCGTAGATTTTGTTATTTTTGCACAGCGCATACACAATTCCATTGTTTCCAAATCCATATCACACTGACGCAATTGTTCTATTGTCTTTTTATCCAAATTTCCATGATAACCATCATCACTGTAGATATCTTCTTTGCTATTTATATCCAAGGGTTTACATTGCATGGGACGGCAACACAAAGCGATTATCGCTAATGAAATTAAAACGACAAATATCTGAAAGTAGTAGAATAAATATATATTAATATTAAAGAATGACAAATACTTTAAGCCTTTAACATTTTGATGAAAGAACTACTAAATGTTAAAGTGAAAGATATTTTCATTTGAATTGCATATATTTTTGTAGTTTTTTTAATGGTTTTATTTTAAGATATTTGTAAAACATTTCATCACACTTTTAATAATATTTTTACACAAATCACTAAAAACAGATTTGGATAAAGTACAACTATTTTTTAAAATTTATTTATTTGAAAATTTTTAACAAGATGTGTAGTACATTTGTTAAAAAAATTAAAATCAATTAACACTAGTTTCGTATTTTTTAGTTTGTTGCTTTTTGCGTCGGTAAACAACAAATTTAAGTTGGACAAATTTTTTTATTTTTAAAATTAATTTGAAAAATGTTTGCAATTGAAATAATGGAAAAAGTTTGAAAAAAAAAAATAAAAGCAGATTTGCTTTTTAATTTTAACATTTTTATTTCATATGAAAATCATTTTTGGCTCGAATATTTTTTCTTCAAAAATTCACTTCCATGCTTTTTATTTGTCGTAAACAAATTAAAAAATGTCATCAGCTCAAGCAAATATGGGTTTAATTTAAAAAATATTTTGTTTTAATTTCTTTCAAATTAATTTAAACTATTTCACTTGCTCACACTTACTTTTTGATTCATTTTAATGTGTAGATTTTATTTTAAATAATTTTATATTTTAGATAAATTATATTTAGTTTTTAGTGTTTTTTATTTTTAACACGTTTGGTATTCAATTAATATTTTTAATTATTTTTTTTTTTTTTTGCTTTGGGAAGAAGAATTTTCTTAAGGTTTTTAATGTTACAGTGTTAATTTTTAAACTGAAATTTGTTTAAGCGAGTTAAAATTATATATACCATTCTGTTTGATACGACTGAACTGATTAATGGGACTACAAACGATTTATAATCAAAACAGCAAGTACAATAACCAAACGATCATCGTGATCGGAAAACTTCGAAAAACAATACCGACAACAATAACAACAACAGCAGCAATTATACGAACAAGTGTATAAGTGTTGAAACGAAATCATAACCACAAATCATTAAAAAAAAGTACGACAAATGAGAGTTTGTTTGATTGGGGTTTAGCAGCCAGATAGAAGAAATCCCCGAGCAAACCAGAGAAAATTAAGAAAAAAAATATTTTGTACCTTTAATTTGTTATTGTTGCAATGAGGCAGGCAGACATACAGACATGTTACGTTACTTACGTTTGAGACGCTGGTGTTACGCAGCTGTTTAAAGTCTAATCACAGTCAATACTTTTAAATAATAAAAAGAAGTAAAACCATATCAACGTTTGGCAAAAAAATAATAATAATTCTTTCTTTTCCTTTTTATTAATTTTTGTTTTTTTTTTTTGTTTTTGCCGGTAATAAAACCATATACTCTATACTATGTATAATAAGCGTGTGATTGTATATGTACTCATATGTACATATGTTTTCTTTTAAATTGAACAAACAAGAACAAAAATGAAATCACAATTATTAAAATTAGAATTGAATACTTTAAGATTAAGAAGAATAATTAAAAAGAAAAGAATTATGTTTGTAAATGTATTGAAATTCGCACACGTATTTTGAAACACAACTCAAAATGATAACGCTGAAGAAGATTTGAAGCCACTACATATAACAGCAACAACAAAAACGAATAATCAAACTACACAAACAAAATCGATCGATCGATCGATCTTCTTTTTATTATACAATTACTCTTACTCTATATAACAATTGATTTATATTTATACAATTATAGTTTATTTTTATATTTTCTTTAACGATAGTGTTTGTTGTAATTATAAACACTTATCAATGGACTGTATGGGGATGTTCGATTACTCTTTCATTTTTATTACAAATTGTTTTGTTTGCTTTTATATTTTGTTTTTTTTATTATTATTTATTAAAAAGGGAGGTTTCTTTTACACCATTCAAAACAAAAAACTCCACCCATTTATCATCCTTCGGTTAATATACAATCACACATACTCGTGTCGTTATATGAATGATTGTGCGGTGTTTGTATTGTAAATGTTTGGAAGGCTAAAAACAAAAAACCACAAAAACAAAACAAACAAATAAACCCTGACTTGGTAATTGAACCCGCATCTGAATAAACAACTTACATACAGACATACAGAGATACATACTTATAAAAATATTTAAATACTCTTGTATCTAGGAGTAAATGTGTTTGTGATCTCTTAAACTCTTAATCTAATTTTAATAATAAGCTTTGTCTTGTGCTTTCTATATGTTAAATGAATCATTGACTCGTTGGACCCATTTTTTTATTTTGTTAAAAATAACTTTGATTATTTTTTAAACAAAGATTAAATTTAAAGAAAATATTTAACAAATATTTATTTGTATTTTGAAGTTTTAATGTTTTTAACCCTTTGAAGTTTGTCCATCTGCCATGCTAAAATCTTTCAGGTTATATCTTTTTTATAATAAAAGAGAGTATCTTTTATAAAAATTTTTTGATTTTTTTAAATGCCTTTGAATATAATTACCACTTTTATCCGATTTAATCGGCTATGTCCTCTGGACACGATAAATGCTCAGACTAGGTTATAGACTAGACGATAGGCCGGATTACAGACTGGACTACACTACAGACTTGACTATAGATTAGACCATAGGCCGGATTACAGACTGGACTACACTACAGACTTGACTATAGATTAGACCATAGACTAGACTATATACTAGACTATAGACTAGACTATAGACTAGACTATAGACTAGACTATAGACTAGACTATAGACTAGACTATAGACTAGACTATAGACTAGACTATAGACTAGACTATAGACTAGACTAGACTAGACTAGACTAGACTAGACTATAGACTAGACTATAGACTAGACTATAGACTAGACTATAGACTAGACTGTAGACTAGACTATAGACTAGACTATGGACTAGACAATAGACTAGACTATAGACTAGACTATAGACTAGACTATAGACTAGACTGTAGACTAGACTATAGACTAGACTATAGACTAGACTATAGACTAGACTATAGACTAGACTATAGACTAGACTATAGACTAGACTATAGACTAGACTATAGACTAGACTATAGACTAGACTATAGACTAGACTATAGACTAGACTATAGACTAGACTATAGACTACACTATAGACTAGACTATAGACTAGACTATAGACTATAGACTAGACTATAGACTAGACTATAGACTAGACTATAGACTAGACTATAGACTAGACTATAGACTAGACTATAGACTAGACTATAGACTAGACTGTAAACTAGACTATAGACTAGACTATGGACTAGACTATAGACTAGACTATAGACTAGACTATAGACTAGACTATAGACTAGACTATAGACTAGACTATAGACTAGACTATAGACTAGACTATAGACTAGACTATAGACTAGACTATAGACTAGACTATAGACTAGACTATAGACTAGACTATAGACTAGACTATAGGACTAGACTATAGACTAGACTATAGACTAGACTATAGACTAGACTATAGACTAGACTATAGACTAGACTATAGACTAGACTATAGGACTAGACTATAGACTAGACTATAGACTAGACTATAGACTAGACTATAGACTAGACTATAGACTAGACTATAGACTAGACTATAGACTAGACTATAGACTAGACTATAGACTAGACTATAGACTAGACTATAGACTAGACTATAGACTAGGACTATAGACTAGACTATAGACTAGACTATAGACTAGACTATAGACTAGACTATAGACTAGACTATAGACTAGACTATAGACTAGACTATAGACTAGACTATAGACTAGACTATAGACTAGACTATAGACTAGACTATAGACTAGACTATAGACTAGAGACTATAGACTAGACTATAGACTAGACTATAGACTAGACTATAGACTAGACTATAGACTAGACTATAGACTAGACTATAGACTAGACTATAGACTAGACTAGACTAGACTAGACTAGACTAGACTAGACTAGACTAGACTAGACTAGACTATAGACTAAACTATAGACTAGACTATAGACTAGACTATAGACTAGACTATAGACTAGACCAGCGGTTCCCACCGTTTTTTACTTCGCGGACCCCTTGAGGAATTTATTTAATTTCACGGACCCCCATACATATTTTGATATCTTATTGTTATAAATAATTGTTCATCCGAAAATTGTCTTAGTCCTGGTCCATAAACCCTATAAAATATTCCCGTACATTGAGAATATTTAGTATTTCGGAGATGTTTTCAATTGCATGGTTTTAAATATAGAATGACTACTAACATGATGTCTAATTTTATGATCGTGGAAGCTTTCATTTTCATTTCTCGTCAAGGTAGCGAAAAGGTTTCTTTATCAAGTATTGTCGACATGTGCTTAAAGAGTCATGTTTCTAAATTTTTTTGCGATTGCATAGGAGTGAGCTGAGTATGTAAGCTAAGTTTTCGGGAAAATATGTGAAAGTTAGACTTCTTCGATGTTGTTGCGGAATGCGTTATCCACATAAAATATGACCTGAACTCCTTGCGAATGTACTGTGAATTTGGATCTTAAATTTGAATTTTAAAATACCTACGAATTATTTTACTGCGTTGTTTTGACTATTTACGCAAAACGCTATGAATTTTCTGATGTTGATTTAATAATATTGGACAACAAAATGAAGTTAAAATCTGTGTATCACGTCGGAATGGAATATTTATATTTAAAATTAACTAGATTAACACTTACAATTTAAAAAATATTATGAAATGTAACCTAACTTCATATTCCGGGATACCAGTATCAGTATTTAATTCTAAGGCAAATCATTATCCGTCTGATATAAAAACATTTATTTCGATACATATACATTTATAAAAATTACAAATCACGTAATACTCCACTTTATAAAAGTGAAACAATAAATTTGTAGGGCCCAGCTTCATCCTGATAAACGACCGAAACAATAAAATTCAAAAAGTCCCCAACAAATCTGGGATTATTGAATAAAAATTGTGTATTTTAGTATTTATGAAAAATTTGGAGATATTTTGAATATTTTCTAACATATAGAGAATATTTTTTATTCATGATTTTTTTCGTTCGTCTTCGCGGACCCCCTAGGATTTTGCTACGGACCACTAGGGGTCCGCGGACCCCCTTTTGGGAACCGTTGGACTAGACTATATACTAGACTATAGACTAGACTAGACTATAGACTAGACTATAGACTAGACTATAGACTAGACTATAGACTAGACTATAGACTAGACTATAGACTAGACTATAGACTAGACTATAGACTAGACTATAGACTAGACTATAGACTAGACTATAGACTATAGACTAGACTATAGACTAGACTATAGACTAGACTATAGACTAGACTATAGACTAGACTATAGACTAGACTATAGACTAGACTATAGACTAGACTATAGACTAGACTATAGACTAGACTATAGACTAGACTATAGACTAGACTATAGACTAGACTATAGACTAGACTATAGACTAGACTATAGACTAGACTATAGACTAGACTATAGACTAGACTATAGACTAGACTATAGACTAGACTATAGACTAGACTATAGACTAGACTATAGACTAGACTATTATAGACTAGATTATAGACTAGACTATAGACTAGACTATAGACTAGACTATAGACTAGACTATAGACTAGACTATAGACTAGACTATAGACTAGACTATAGACTAGACTATAGAC